TTAATAATAAGCCAGACACAGAAACACAAATACTGCTGATCTCATAAGTGGAATCTAAAAAAGTCAAACTCACAGAAGCAGAGGGGAGAATGATGGTTACCAGGGGCTCAGGGGAGAGGTAATATGATTGGAGAGATGTTGGTCAAATTTCAGTTAGATGGAGAAATAAGTTCAGATAGGATTGGAGATGTTGGTCAAATTTCAGATAGGTGGAGAAATAAGTTCAAGAATCTATTATACAACATGGTGACTATAGTTAATAACAATGTATTGGGTGGGCACACTGGTTCATGCCTGTAATCCTAACATGTTAGGAGGCCAAGGCAATAGGATCACTTGAGACCAGGAGTTTGAGACCAGCCTGGGCAACGTGGTGAAACCCTTCCCTACAAAAACTAAAAAAAAAGTGAAGTGTGTTGGTGTGTGCTTGTGATTTCAGCTACTTGGAAGACTGAGGCAGAGAATCTCTTGAGCCCAGGAGGCTGAAAATGCAGTGAGCCGTGACTGTACCATTGCACTCCAGCCTGAGCAACAGAGTGAGACCCCCTCTCAAACAAAATGTATCATATACTTGGGAATTTCTAAGATTAGATTTTAGTGTTCTCACCACAAAAAAGTTAACTATGTGAGGTAATGCATGCGTTTTAATTAGCTTGATTTAGACATTCCACAATGTATACATTTTTTCAAAACATCATGTTATACACCATAAATATATATAATTTTTGTCAATTAAAAAATGAGTTAAAAAAAAGAAAGTGGGACTTTTGGCAGTGAATAGGTAATGAGGGCAGATCTCTCATGAATAGGGTGAATGCCTTTAAAGAGACCCCAGAGAGATAACTTGCCCCTTCCACCATGTGAGAACATGCTAGAAGGTGCCATCTATGAAGAATCAGCCCTTACCAGACACTGTATCTGCCAGTGCCTTGATCTTGGACTTCTTAGCCTCCAGAACTTTGAGAAATAAATTTATATTCTTTATCAGCTATGCAGTTTTGAGTTATTAGTTGATGGGTTGTTATAGCAACCCAAATGGACTAAGAAAACCAACCAACGCCTAAGATAGGCCTGGTACATAGTAAACTTCAATATTTGTTTGTTGAATGAATGAATGCACATTCCTTGAATACTTTGCATTTTACTCTATTTTCCACTCCTATTTTTCTTTTCTTTTTTGTTTTTTGAGATGGAGTCTTGCTCTGTCACCCAGGCTGAAGTGCAATGGCGTGATCTCAGCTCACTGTAACCTCTGCCTTCCAGGTTCAACCTATTCTCCTGCCTCAGCCTTCCAAGTAGCTGGGATTACAGGCAAGTGCCACCACACCCAGCCAATTCTTTATGTATTTTCAGTAGAAACGAGGTTTCACCATGTTGTCCAGGGTGGTCTCAATCTTCTGACCTTGTATTCCACCCACCTCGGCCTCCCAAAGTGTTGGGATTACAGGTGTGAGCCACCACACCAGCCACCTGGCTGACACTCCCACTTTTCTTATGTATAAAAACTATTTGTACACCTTTGAAAACTGAGATCCATGGTTCTCTAAGTGTGATCAGGACAAAGAGACAGAGATTCACAGAAGTTGAAAACCTCTGTGTTTTAGGCTTATTGGGTTTGTGGCCTTTTGCAAGTTACATAACATGTCTGTGATGTAATTATATGTAATCACAATCGTGCTTCACACAATTGTCATAGAGTTTTTCTGAGATAAATGATGATAATAATTGCTAACCCTTTCTGGGCACTTCCTTTGTATCTGCTGTGTTCTAACCCATCAGATGAGGCCCTATTTTTGTTTCATATAAAGGGATTAACATTGCCTGCATACATAAATGTCATATTATTATTAACATTATTGTAGTCAATGATTAAAGAAAAGGCTGACAAGGCTTTTTCGTCCCACCCTGAGTGGGTGTTTTGTAGGTGACCACTCTGCAAGAGCTTGTTACTCCATGCAATTGCGTCCAATCCAGTTCTTCTCATAGGTGAGCGTGCATCAGAGTCAGTTGGAGGGCTTGTCAAAAAAGATTGCCAGGTCTTGTTTACCAGGTTTCTGATTCAATTGGTCTAGTATGGAGTCCAAGAATTTGCATTTCTGACCATTTTTCAGATGCTGCTGATGCTACCAGCCCCTGACCAAACATTTTTAAAATAATGATTTATTAAAATATAATTCAAATACCATAAAATCACCCATTAAAGTATACCATTCAGTGATTTGTTACAAAATTCAGAGTTGTACAACCATCATCACTTTAGAATAAAGTACACATTTTTCTTTTCAATCTGTTTTTAAAATAGGTATATAAAACTACACAGAAAAGTAGAGATGAAGAAGTCTTCCTCCTCTTATCCAAATCACTTGGTTTCTCCCCACCACTAGGTAGCCACTTTTATTTACTTTTCTATATATCTATTTCTATATAGCATTTCTTCATGCAGATACAAGGAACATGTGGTCTTTCCCTGTTTTCTTGTACTAGAGAGGCAGCACACTATGATCATACTCTGCCATTTTTTTTTCATTTATTACAGCTGGAGATCATTATGGACATATTACCATGGCATATTTAACAGTCTCCTTCAAGTAAACAAATATCTCAATTGTTTCTAGTCTTTTGCTATTGCAAACTATGCTGCAATAAATACCCAATATCATTTTACATGTATTATGGTTTGAATGTGTCTCCTCCAAAATTCAGGTGTTGCCAATGTGCTAGTATTAAGAGGTGGCACCTTTAAGAAGTGATTAGGCCCTGAACGCTCCTCCATCATTAATAAAATTAAGGCCCCTTATAAAAGAGGTTTCATGCAGCATTTGGCTAGCTTGCTCCCTGACCCTTCTGTCTTCCGCCATATAAAGATGCAGCAAGAAGGCCCACATCTGACACCAAATGCTAGTTCCTTGATCTCAGATTTCTCAGCATGAGAAAGTAAATGTCTGTTCTTTGTAAACTACCTAGTCTCAGGTATTCTGTTATAGCAGCACAAAACAGACTAAGACAATATGTGTGTAGGTGTATGTATAGGATTAATTCCCAGAAGTGGGACTGCTAGCTTAAAGAGTAAATATGTTTATAATTTGGAACATATTTCCAAAGTCCCATTGATGAGTTGTATAACTCTGTACTTTTGTTAGCAACATGCCCTTACCCTGACATGTGTTGCCTATGACTTGGATTTTAGCCAATATGATAGGTGTACAGTTTAAATTTGCATTCCTCTCATCACGAGTGAGATAGTACATTCTTCATATGTATAAAGGCCATTTGTGTTCCTTTTTCTGTGAACTGCCCTTGTCCTTTGCCCATTGTCTACTGGGTTTTTGGTTATTTCCCCCAAGGAGTACTCTTGGTTACTCCTCCAGGAGTAATTTATACTTTAGGGGGTTGTTTCTATATGACATCATTATTAACTATTTTTCAATTTTGCTTATTGTGTTTTTCGCCATGCATAAATTAGGGTTTTTATGTAGTTGAATTGATCAATCTTTCCTATTGCGATTAGTGCATTTTGAGTTCATAGTTGAAAAGACTTTCTTCCCTTTCCCCCACTCTAAGATTATAAAGAAATCTGGTCATGTTTTATTCTAATACCTTGACATTTTATTCACGTTCAATCTTGGATTTGTAGCCTAGAGCACTGTCACCTACCAGACCAAAAAAGAATATGGATGAGTATGTTTTAAACATTTCTCCCTATATTAGATCTTTCTTTAAATACAATCTTGCCCCATATGTAAGACAGATGGAAGGAGAGCTGCCCTGAAGGTACAGCAGAGACCCTCTTGTGAGTCACACCCTCCCCATAGACTCCATGGTTCTCCATGGAAATCTTTGGGATGGCTGTAAGCAGAGTGAACACCACAAATATCTGCCGAACAACAACTAGGCCAAAAAGTTTGATGAGAAAAAAGTTAAAAGAAGGACTTTCTGGTTTGTCTTGGTGTTTGCCACTGAGTGTTTGTTGAGGAGGAAATAAGAAAAGCCTGGAGAGGACTCAAGAGTCTCTTTCCGCAGGACTCATCTTTCTTATCAACAGTTCCCTTTTACTGAGTCCATATGTTCAATTGAAAATTCCTCATGATTCTACTATGCTCTGACTGGTGAAGTGGAGAGTGCATGGACCTTGGTATCACATATGAGTTCTAATCCTGAACACTTGGTAGCTGTGCAGCCTCTGGCAATTCATTTGTTTTATAATTAGTAGTTCACCCACAGCAAATAATTGAGTGCTTTGTGTGTGGAAGACATTGTGTTAAATGCTGGAGATATAAAAACAGAGAAGATAGAAATGGTATTACCTTACAGCATGGGGGTGGAGCCGGATGGTAAAAAAATAACTATCATGATTATTTAGATTCTGATTGTCAAAACATCTTCAACAGAGCACGGGGTCCTATGGACATGAAGAGCAGGGAGGTTCAGGCTTGCTAGTTTAGGGAAGCTAGGCTACCAGGTTCAGGTTTGACAGGCCCATTGGAATTGGCATGGCAGAGGGAGGTCAGAGCCTTTTAGGCAAAAGGAAGAGCAAATGCTTATTAGACCCTGCGCTGCAGGAGCTAGGCGCATTTGACCACCGAAAGGAAGGCCAATATAGACAGCATCATCACTGCGGTATCTGTGTGGAGAATGGATCCTATGTGTGTGGTGTGTGAGGGGCAAGAGTGGATTAGGCGACATGGGTTAGGAGCTACTAGCAGTCTGGGCAAAAAAGACACTAGTGGCCAGGGAAACAGTGGTGGCAGTGGAGAGTGTGGACAGATTGGTAAGAGACACAGAAGTGTTCACAGAAACTCCCAGGTTTCTGGGTGAACCATCACCAAGTGGATGTCCCTGCCACTACTGAGCTAGTGAATTCTGAACGGGAGGAAGTCTGGAGAAAACCCCCAACATTTCGGCAGGAGAGCATCTCCGGGTGCAGATGGCAAGCGGGAACCTCACAAGAGGTCTGGCTGCAGGGGTGAAATGGGGACCTCGGCGAGGTCGGGTCCACTTACTGTGCTCAGTAAGACAGCGAGGCCCCGCCGAGGCGGCAACGCAGATCGGGTTTTAGGTGGGGTCCCAGTCGGAGTCCCCGTGTCCAAAATCCTCACTAGATTGGGCGTGCCGTTTATCTTGTTCCAACGGTTGACCGTAATGGCACTAGCAATGGCGTCCTCCCCAGGCGAAGATGTTTTTCTTCCGTGTTTTCAGCCACTGCAGAGTGGACAGCTACCATAAACCAGGTACCTGTGGGCTTGGGTACCAGATTCAAAATGGGATGGTGGCAGAACAGGGACTAGGACGGAGAGAAAACCCGAAGATGGATCAACCAGAAAGCAACGGATTCTCAGAGGCACAAAACGTGCCTCTGAAGCATTAGATTCCCCTCCACCGCTGCGTCCTCAGAAGGCAACTTTCTGAGCATCCTTCCCTCCTCCTCAGGCTGACGCTTTGCACCTTGTTAAATTACCTGGCAGCTTTCTCCATGGGAGATGCCTTCTTCACAGTCCTCGCGTCCCAGTCAGACTCGCGGCTTCCTCCTCCGGCCGTGGTCGCCGCCGCGCGGTCTCAGGCTCACTCCTCCAGCGCCCCTAGGAGCTGCGGCCCCCGCGGAGCCCCTGCGCGCCCAGGCGAACCAGGTAGGAACGCAGGCTCCCGCCTCCTCAGACGCCGGCGCCCCGTACCCTTTCCTCAGCCTCCACAAGTTCTCCAGGGGATGTGATGTCCGACGTGCAGTCTCAGCTCTGGATATTCAGACGTTACTCCTTCCTCCCCGGACGCCAAACATGGGGAAACCACACTCTCTCTGCTCCCGTCACCAGCAGCCACTCCCATTCCTGAAGTTTCCACTGTTGCATGTGTACCCTACTTCAGGTTTCCATTTTTATTTAAGGTCAGTTGTTGCCTGACAACACAGACATTAACTTTATTTGAAAGACAGCACTTCGAAGCGGACCCCGCTCCAGGCGCCAGCCCAGCAGCTTTCCCGAACCCGCCAGGAACCAAACGGCGAGCAACGACCCCTGCCCGGGCAAGAAAGCTCGACCCGCCGCGCCACACCTCTTCCGGGTTCCCCAGCCGGGAGGTCTGGGAAGCCCTGAAGCGCCTGGGGGCCGAGAAACCCCGGCCCCGGCGAAGCCCCGCCCCCCGCCCGAGCACCCGCCAATGGCAGCGCGCGGTGCGGCGCGCCGAGGTGGGACGACGGCGACGCGTTGAGGAGGCGGCGCGCTGAGGCGGCGCGCTGAGGTTTCCCTCCTGGAGATGCCCCGCCGCAGTTGCGCTAGTGGCCCTAAGGTAGGCTTTGGGGCTGTAGCGGGCGCCGCGCCGTTTTAAGTGTCGCGGGGGAGCGGCGGGCCGGTGTTGGGCTGGCCCCGGGCTGCTGGGGTAAGAGGGGGTGGGCATTGGGGTTGAAGGACGAGGTGGTGGCGAGTTCCGTCTGCGCGCGTGTAGCGAGCCCGCGCCGCGGGGTGCAGCCCTCGGGTCCGGCTACGGTCCCGTTGTCCTGGCCGAGCCCTCAGCGGCTGTCCGGGAGGCGAGGGGTGGAGCTATGGGAGACACGGAGCTGGCTGCTGGGACTTGAGGCCGGAGTGAGCAGGAACCTAGGTCAGCCTCGGGGGTACTTGGCGATGCTTTTGTCTCTTTTTCACTCTGGTGTAATGCACCAAACAGCAGGGAATCCTAGCGGCTTTGCCCGTCTCCCCGGATAGCCCACTGTCAACTCTCTCTCTCTCTCTGCCGCACTGGGGGGGACTCTGCGGCTGACTGCCCGGTCCGTGAGCACCGCGCTGCCTCTGGGTCCAGGCGGGGAGCGGGTGGAAGCATTGCGTGAGTGGTGTTTAATTGCACCTGCATCCGAGAGTGCATCCTTTTTTCTTCTGCTAATTGTGCTTCTCCTGGCGTGTGTCCTTTATCTTTTTACAAGTTCCTTATAACTTCCTTGCTTTCAAATACGTTTGCTCATAAACAGTTTTAGAAAAGCAAAGACAGGACCTCCATTCTTGACTCTTCCCTTTACTCGAAAACTTCTTGAGGAAATAGTCCACATATACTGGTTCGACTTTGGAACTACCATGCTTTCTCGCTTCAGATACCATTGATTATCAGACCACACTATCAATTTTGTGACTGGCTTTAGGGAATAAAACATTTCAGGCACCTCTGTTGATTATAAGACGCAGCCTGATTTCAGAAGCATTAATGTGTGAGAAAAACTAGGATTTGTTAAATCCAGTATAAGTCGTTTACTTGGTCATGCAGCATTGGACACATTCATCACCTGCTTTTATTTCTTTTGGAACATCCCTGAAGTTGCTACGCTGATTGTCTTCCTGTCTTGCAACTGCTCATTTTCTTCTCTTTATTGTGTTCGTGCCATGTTCTAATTTTTGACTTTGTGCTTTTTCTCACTTTCCACGTTTGCTCTGGGCAGTGGAAACATACATGGAAATTAACTTTTAGGGCTGTATGGATGACTTTCAGATCTATGTTAGCTCTTTTCCTTGAGCTCAAACTTAGTGCATCACAAAATCATCGTCATTTCACCCTTAGTTGTCCAGGCCCTAACCGTTTCACTTGACTTAGACAACTTAGTATTTTTGGATTGACATTCACCTCTGGTCTCTTCATCCTGTCATATTTCAAGACTCTATCAGTTTTTCTTTTCAGTAGTTGTGTTAGTTGTCTGTTGTGTAATAAGTTGCTGAAAACTGAAGTAGTTCATAACAAATGTTTATTATATCATAGTTTCTGAGATTCAGGAATCTACAACTATGTGGTTGTAGGTCAGGATCTCCCACAAGGCTGCAGTCAAATAAAGAGTCGTTGGAGCTGGTGGATCCAGTTCCAAGCTCACTCACGGATTGTTTCTTGACAGCTCTCTAAGACAGCTCACAGCAGGGTCCTGGCTATTCCAAGAGCGAGCGAGCGAGCGAGCGAGAGAGAGAGAGAGCGCGCCAGCAAGCAACAAGATATTGCCCCCCCCCCGTGTCTTTTATGGCCTAATTTCAGAAGTAATATCCCATCTCCTGTCTATTCATTACATGGACCAATAATCTGGTACACTGAATGAGGAGGGTATCAAGGACCCAGGAGGTGGGGATCACAGGGCCCACCTTGGAGGCTGGCTTCCACAGTAGTTTTGCCCCAGGGATTTTTTTTGTTTGTTTCTGTCTCTCTAGGTCAGTACTTAATGGTTAGAGTGTTGATGTGTGGTGCCAGCTAGCATGCTCCCACTCATCTTCAGAGGTGACTTTCCCTTAGACACCACTTTGATTATATTGTTAGTCCTCTACCTAAATCTCATTTTACTTCTTATTGGCTGCATCCTAATTTATTGCAGTACTTACCCTATGTTTAGTACTTTATATGTATTAACTATGTAATTATTTTAACAATTATGTGAGGTAGATACCTTTAGTCTCATTTTATGGATGAGGAAACTGAGGCTCAGCAGAGAGGTTAGGTAATTTGCCCAAGGTCACACAGCAGTTAAAGGAAAAAGCTAGGATTTATATCCAGGTAGTCTGCTCCAGACCTTGCTTTTGTTCAGGCTTTCAGCCTGTTATTCACAGGTTCCATAATACATCTGTATCTTATTCCTTAATTTTACAGCTTTGTTCATTATTTATCTTTCAGGTAAACTAGACTACTGCTGTCATCTTACTTTGTTGCCCTTTGGTGGTAATTGAAATGTTCATGGTTTGGAATAATGCCAGTTCTCCTATTTCTGCTGATTGAAATCTTAATCATCCATTGAGGCCCACCTCAAGTCCCACCTTCTCCCAAATTATCTGAGCTATATATAAACTTTCTTCTGTAGTCTGTGGAATTTTACGTAAATAACTCTTACTATTTCATGTATTAGGTTTATTTGTGTCTACACTTTTATCCCCGTATAGTCTAGACATTTAAGATTAGGGACTGTGTCTTCTGCCCATATTCCCCAGAGTACCTGTCATATCCCTTGTGCATGCTAGATACCTAAGAAACATCTGATGAATTAATGAAAGGGAAACAGTTTAGAAGATTTGCAAGTATTCCAGATGTGAAGAAACATGAGGATACCTTAGTCTGAAGCCTTCGATATCAGCCTCAGCAATACAGCTGACTGATTTTGCAATTTTGGACAAGCCATGCAGATATTTCAGGACTCTTAAGATGAAAGGTTATTCTGTCGTGGACTAAAGTGGTGGAATTTGGAATAGAATGGAAAGGACTGGGTTGATAGACTACAAATGGAAGGTGAGATTTAGGCAACTGCAATTGAAAGAGGAAGAGGAGGGAACCCATGGTGACTCAAAGTTGAACCTGTGAGAAGTGGGAGAGTTGGTTGCCTGCCTCTTGACTGATGTTAGGATATATAGATATGTGGAATATAAGCCCTAGGGAGATTAGGGCAGTCAGTTGCTCAAAGGCTGGGGATATCTTAGCTCTTTTCTGACTCCCATCTCTTCCATGGGCCTCTCATGTCCTAGCCCCTCACTATCCCTTAACATGCTGTGATTCTTTCTTCCCTTTATGCCTTGTGTTCTTCCTTTCCTTAAGAAGTAGCCAAGGATGACCACATATACTCCTGTTCTTGGCCAGCACCTTGCCTTTTGAGATTTTCTGATCCTCCCCAGCTATTATACTCTCACAGCTCCTTTCACCTCCTTAGACTGAATTCTAGTTTCTCGCTTCTCCCCACCCCACCTTCTTACTCTTTTCCACTGAAAGAAAAACTGTATCTTGGCAAAATTATGAAAGAGAGACTACATCTTCCTTATGACACCTTCTTTCTCTAATCCTTTGGGTCTCCCTCATCACCAAAACTTCTTTTCTTTTCTTGGAGACAGGGTCTCACTCTGTCATCTAAACTGGAGTGCAGTGATGTGAAGTGGCTCACTGGAGCCTCGACCTCTCAGGCTTAAGCGATCCTCCCACCTCAGCCTCCCGAGTAGATGACACCACAGGTGTGCACCATAACACCCGGCTTGTTTTAATTTTTGTGTGGAGATGGAGTTTTGCCATGTTGTCCAGATTAGTCTCGAACTCCTGGCCTCAAGCAGTCCTTCCTGTCTTGGCCTCCCAAAGTGCTGGGATTACAGGCATGAGTCGTGGCACCCGGCCAATTTACTTTATTTCTGGTGCTTCTTGCACTGGGCCAGGCATATGGTGGGTATTGATTAAATACAGTGTACACATGAGATTGAAGAGTACTCACGGCTGCAGGTTAAAAAAGGGTTTTCTTTGTCAAGAAAGGGAAACATTTTGCCTATTTGAAGTAGGAGAGAAGAAGCCAATGGACCTTTTAGTATCCTAGAAGGTTTGGATTTCATTACAGAGCAGGGTTAGTTTTAGAGAATAGGCACATTTCCCCATGAGACTGTAGGGAAGAAGGAGAGCCCAGTAGATGGGAAGTTAGCTGATTTTTACAATGGCTAATTCTTTTTTCCTGAGGAAGATGTGACAGCATGAGCTATGAGGCTGATATGGAGATGTCAAGAGAAGTGTGGGTATGGAACTCACATGTATGTGTGTGATTCTGTGTAGGTTTATAGTAGAAAACTAGGAAGTAAGTATTTAACAGTAGACAAGACATGTAAGAATAACTGGAGGAACTGCTCTCATTTTGGGGCCTTTTTCCAGTGGCCCCATAGGTTGGTGATTGGTAACCCCATGGGTTGGTAGAAGGGTAGGGGTCTTAGTGCTTTAAAGGCCACACTGAAGTAGTAGGCCATAGAGTGCAGAATGGCATGGGAGGCGTCATGATTAGGAGGGAGTGACTCTGATAAAGTGAGTGGGACTTACAAGTCCCAGTGAATTTTCAGATACTTAGAGCCCAGTCAGAAACTCACTTGTGATGCCTATGTGTGGGAAGTGCTTGTATAGTTGATAGACACTTTTATTAATGTGAGGTAATTGAGAACCAGTGGCTAGAATCTTTAGTTTTGGAATTAGGCGTACATGGAAGAAAATCTTGACACATTGCTTCTTAGCTCTGAATAGGGCAAATATTTTTGAGTTGTGGTTTCTTTATAACACGGGGTTAATACCTATATTGCTGGGTTGATGTGAGGATTAAATGATGAGAATGCATGGGATGATATACTGAGCATATAAGCACTCAATAAATGTTGGTGATAATGAAAGCAATTAATTAATGAAACACCATGATAATTAAAGAAATTGTATGAGGACAAAGATAATTGTTCATCTTCTGCTACTTTGTCTCTGGATTTCCCTGAATTGCTGTCTTTCAGCTTGTCGAACAAGAAATAGGAAAAGGGCTTATTTTAAAGTTTTTCGGTGATGGC